CAGCATGGATGGAACTGGAGAGCATTATGCTAAGTGAAACAAGCCAGTCAATGAAGGAAAAATACCACATGATCTCACTCATTTATGGATAATAAAGACCATTATAAACTGATGAACAAAAATAGATACGGAGGCAAGCAGCATTAAACAGACTGTCAAACTATAGCAGGAAGGTTGGGGAGGGTTGGGGGGCGGGGTAAGAGATCAACCAAAGGACTTGTATGCATGCATATAAGCATAACCAATGGACACAGACACTGGGGGGTAGGGGAGGCCAGGGGATTGTCAAGGGCGGGGGAAAAAAAGGAGAAACATGTAATACTCCTTGTAATAATTTAAGCAATAAAAAAAAAATGAAACATACAAACAAACAAACAAAAACAAAAAAAGATTTACTGTCTTAAGGTGAAAAACTGAAATATTTATACTTGCAGAGATTTGGCAATGGTCCGTTCTTGACATTTTCATTTGAATCCTCAGACTCAACAAGTTCAAAATTGTGCTTATTTTGCCCCTAAACTCCCATCTGCACAATTACCCAAACCAAAAATCTGAGCATCTTCATTGACTCCTTCCTTTCCTTCAGTATTCATATCCAATTAATTACCGTGTTTTATATGTTACTTCCAAATATGTTTTAAATCTGTTTGCTTCTTTATCTCCATTGCCACCACTGTACACCAGCTGTCTTCAGTAGCTGGGATTACTGTAGTAGACTACTGACTGGTATCCAGGCTTGTTCTCTTCTTCCTTCTCCTCTGTTCTTAAGACTCTAGCCAGAATAACATTTTACACCCTGATTTGATTACATCACTCTACTACTCTGCTTTAAATACATATTTTTAAAGATAATTCTTGTGCTGTAAAAACAACATGTTTTCATTGATATTTAGACAGAGGGGAGGGTGGAGAGGGAGGGAGGAAGGGAGGGAGAGAGAGAGAGAGAGAGAGAGAGAGAGAGAGAGAGAAGCATAGAGAAAGAGAGAGAGAGAAACATTGATCGGCTGCCTTTCATGCTCCCTACCGGGGATCAAGCCTCCAGCCTGGGCATTTGCCCCAACTGGGAATTGAACCAGCAACCTCTTGGTGCATAGGATGATGCTCAACCAACTAAGCCACACCTGCCAGGACTCTGCTTTAAATATTTTAATTGATTTTCATGGCTCTTGGGATAAAATTCAAAATCCCTAATGTGGTCCTTTAAAGTTATTCATGATTTGGCTCTGCCTAGTTCCCCAGCCTCATCTCCATCTCATGTGGTCCAGCTGCACTAGATTTTATTTGTTCTTTGAAGTACTGTGTTCCTTTCAGCTTTGGTTCCTTTGTTCAAGCTATAACTTCCACCCCTTACTCGTGTCTTGCTTGTTCTTTGTTCTTTCTTTGATTCATTGAACAAATATTAAGTATCTACAATCTGCCAGCTACTAATATACATGCAGGGGATAAAGTAGAGAATGAAACTGGGGGAGGGGAGATACTCATGAAACTTTCTGTTCTTTTTTTTTTTAGTCACTTCATTAATATATAATATAAACTTAGTTGCTTAATATCTTTTTACCCCTCTATGATTTGAGTTTCATGAGGGTAAGGACTTGTACATAGGAAGTATTCATTAAATATTTGTGGAATGAAAGAATGGTGTGCTCTTTGTTGATGTGGTGAAATATAAGTTACTATGCAACATTGGTTGTATAATGTTACTGTAAGTGATTAAAGTGATGAATTTGAGATAACTACCTACTGAAGTGAACAGGGAAACAAATAGAAACACTGTATTTGAAAGTCACAAATGAGAAAATACATTTATTGTATATGTAGGTATTTTATATCTATGTATTAAACTGACTTCTAAATTAATACTTTACACTGTATTATTTAGAAATCAAGAATTACTAGCCTTTTTGTGATGTCTTGGAGAGTAAGAACTTAGTAGAAAAAAGCACATTTGATAATTTCAAAACATTGCTTAAATTAATGTTATTTTGTTTTCTAAATTTATTAGCTACATAAATTTGCTTTCACTTTAAAAACTAAAATCTCAACTTAAAATTTTGACATTTTTTCTTAGGGCATTATTTGAATATGATGTCAAATTGTATAAAAGTTTGACTCACCTGACAAAGTATAACACTTGGCTTGTGTTAGTTATTGTGGTCTTTAACTTGTGTCTAATTTCCTCTAGGCTGCCAAACGAGGGATTCTTTCATCTGGTCGGGGCAGAGGAATTCATTCAAGAGGTCGAGGTGCAGCTCATGGCAGAGGCAGGGGTCGGGGCCGAGGTCGAGGTCGAGGTCGAGGTGTACCTGGTCATGCTGTGGTAGATCACCGTCCAAGGGCATTGGAGATTTCTGCATTTACAGAGAGTGATAGAGAAGATCTTCTTCCTCATTTTGCGGTACTTTCTTACTGAGCAACAAAGCAAATATAATCATTGTTGTGGATAATAGATATATTAAAGGAGAAATTATGAAAATGACATGAGTAATTTAAACCCATTAATTTGACCAAAGAGTTTGATTACTTTATAAGTCTTATTAATTATTTAAAAAATAAGCTGTAGGGGTTTTTTTGTTTGTTTAATTATCTGGAAGATAATGTTGCAATTCTTACACTTAGTGAGCCTTGAGGTATTGTGAAATGAGTGATTTAAACTATTGCTTTAGAGAGGAAAATCCTGTAGTTTACTTTTATTTGATACTTTTAAGGAAAAATTTAACATGTTGCATGAGTCATCCAGATTTTTAAAATTAAGATGGAATTTTATGTGTTAATATTGTATTCTAGGTCTAGCCAACCTAGAAAGGAAACTGCTACTGGTCCCAGTGGATAAAAATTATAGCTTAAAACTTATAAGCACTTCTTTTTTGGGGAAGTGTTATTCTGAGTGCCTTATATAACTCACTATGTTTTAAATTATCTTGACAGCTCTAAGAGATAGGTACCTTTATTGTGCCTCATTTTAGAGATGAGGAAAATGAAGCATGAAGAGATTAAGTAACTTACTCAAATTTACACAGCTTTTAACTGACAGAGCTTGGATCTGACTGATTCTAAAGTTTATTCTCTTTACAGAATTTTTCTGTATAGGTGCATGTGCATTTAATGAAATCATGTTTATAATTTTATTTTTGTATAAGAAAGAAGGAAGGTATTAGTAATGATATATAAAGGACTAGAATTTTTTTTAAAATCCTTACCTAAGGATATTTTTTCCATTGATTTTTAGAGAGAGTAGAAGGGAGATAGAGTAAGGAGGGAGAGAGAAAGAGAGAGAGAGAGAGGGAGACAGAAACATCAATGTGTGAGTGGGAGACATACCAATCGATTGCCTCCTGCACATGCCCCAGTTGGGGCTGGGGATCGAACCTGCAACCCAGGTATGTGCCCTTGACCATGAGTTAAACCCCCGACCTTCAGTGCGTGGGCCAACACTTTAATCACTGAGCAACACCGGCTGGGCTGTGGACTAGAATTTTATATGATAAAAGTTGCTGTTTGTAGGAAAGTCTTCCTTCACTTGGAAAAAATCCAACATACGAAACAAGCATAATTTCATAGGTTTAGCTTTCAAATGTCTGAAAAGGTAGTGTGTGTGGTCTGTAGGAGTCTGTAGTAAGAGTGAAAGCAGGATCAAAAGATATGGACTCTTATCCTGGTAATTTACTTAATTACTTGGGGGGGATTACTTAAGTTCTCTTAATCTTTTTCCCCCCATCTTTAAATTGGGCATGATACTAAAAAAAAAACACCCAAAAACACTAAGAATATTTTGAGGATTAAATATTCTGCTTTAGAAAGAATTTAGCATATTCTGGAATGAAAATAATGAGTATAAAAGGAAAGACAATAAGGAAGCTCAATTTTGGTCATTGTTTCCTTTATTTAAAGAATAGTTCAATGAAGTATAAGTTTCCTTAATTTTAGAAAGTGTAAAATTATAAATTGTTATTTGGAAGATAGGACCACCCTCTACCTTACAATATTAAGTACCAAAATGAATTATTCACCATTTTTTCTGTTAATAACCATGAATTGTTATGTATTTTGGGTTATATTTTGATATTTTAACATTTTACAAAACCACTAGGATTTTGGATATTTCAAAATATTTATTTGGAGGAAATACTTGTTTTTAATTTAAAGCAATATGGTGAAATTGAAGATTGTCAGATTGATGACTCTTCACTTCATGCAGTAATTACATTCAAGACAAGAGCAGAAGCTGAAGCAGTAAGTATTATAAATAATCTGATTTACTGAAGATTCAGATTTAAATATTTTATAAATCTTGCTTTTAAGTTTTAATATAAATGAATTTTTTAAACTTACTATATAACTACATTTTTAGAATAGATGGAACATATCAGTAGAATTCATGGCCACAAAAAAATGTCATTGATATATATAAAAGGCACATATGAAAAGTGTCTCCTCGGGAGTTCAGTCGGGAGACCAGGAGTTCGATCACTCATTATGACGTGTGCTGACCACCAGGGGGCGGAGCGGAACGAAGGAAGGGCCCCAGCTGGCAGCCAGAAGGCGCTGATCAGCCCTGATTGCCGGCCAGGCCTAGGGACCCTACTGGTGCATGAATTTTGTGCACCAGTCCTATAGTATGTAACATGTTATAATTAGAATATATAGTCACCAAGTTGAATGTCATGTTATATTGTTTCAAGACATCAGGAATTCTGTTTCTTTTCTTTCACTCCACTTTCCATTATCCTTTTTCTGAGATGGCCTAGAATGAAGTCTTCTTTGGCAGACTGAGATACAATTTTCATCGCTGCCCTTCTTAATCATCCTTCATCTTCTGCTTCTTAATACGTTTTGACTGAACCCTAAAGAAGTTTCCATAATCAGTATATGCCCAACTAAACCTCTACAACTTTTTGCCCAAGACATGATACAAAGTTATAGCTTTTAGGGTCCTTTTAGTACAGTTGTCTTAAACCATTTTGAATTGTCTTTCCAATGAAAGACCAGAATTATATGCAACCTTGTCTTTCTTCTGGGTTTAAAAGATTAAAAGAGAAAAATGGGTATGAGATGTGGGGGATTTATAGGAACCTTATGTGTTTTTTGTTCAGACTTGTAGAGAAATAGATGCACCATTTTGTCCTTAGAAAAAATGCATTAAATGTTCTAAACAGTTAATTTAATGTGAATGAATTATTGGATGGTTTTCAGAAGTTTTAAATTGATTGTGGTCTAAATAAGTTTTAAAATACCTTCTAAATATTGATTTATCCTTTTTTTAGTAAATATTTCCTGCCAGCAAAATGGTACATTGTTGGGGCTTACCAGGTAGGGGTTGCTCTCGGGGCATTGTACTCAATAAAAGATTGTGGGTCTGATAAGTATCAGAAAAGTGTTCAGCTGAGCCTGTAATAACCTAGTTTCTAGGTACTGGGGTGGGGATTCCTTATCATAGAGTTCTATTTTTATAAATCTAGTTTTGTTTTTTTTTTAAATTAAATCTTTATTGAAGATTATTACAATTGTCCCTCTTTTTTTCCCCCATAGCTCCCCTCCACCTGGTTCCCACCCCACCCTCTGCCCTTACCCCTCTCCCCCCACTGTCCTCATCCATAGGTGTATGATTTTTGTCCAGTCTCTTCCTGCACCCCCCACACCCCTTTCCCCCCAATAATTGTCAGTCCACTCCCTTTCTATGCCCCTTATTCTCTTATATGCACAGGTTTATTCTGTTCATCAGATTTTTTATTCACTTGATTTTTAGATTCACTTGTTGATAGATGTGTATTTGTTGTTCATAATTTGTATCTTTACCTTTTTCTTCTTCTTCCTCTTCTTAAAGGATACCTTTCAGCATTTCATATAATACTGGTTTGGTGGTGATGAACTCCTTTAGCTTTTCCTTATCTGTGAAGCTCTTTATCTGACCTTCAATTCTGAATGATAGCTTTGCTGGATAAAGTAATCTTGGTTGTAGGTTCTTGCTATTCATCACTTTGAATATTTCTTGCCACTCCCTTCTGGCCTGCAAAGTTTCTGTTGAGAAATCAGCTGACAGTCGTATGGGTACTCCCTTATAGGTAACTGACTTTTTTTCTCTTGCTGCTTTTAAGATTCTCTCTTTGTCTTTTGCTCTTGGCATTTTAATTATGATGTGTCTTGGTGTGGTCCTCTTTGGATTCCTTTTGTTTGGGGTTCTCTGCGCTTCCTGGACTTGGAAGTCTATTTCTTTCACCAGGTAGGGGAAGTTTTCTGTCATTATTTCTTCAAATAGGTTTTCAATATCTTGCCCTCTCTCTTCTTCTGGTACCCCTATAATTCTGATGTTGGTACGCTTGAAGTTGTCCCAGAGGCTCCTTACACTATCTTCGTATTTTTGGATTCTTTTTTCATTTTGCTTTTCCGGTTGGGTGTTTTTTGCTTCTTCGTATTTCAAATCTTTGACTTGATTCTTGCGATCCTCTGGTCTGCTGTTGGGAGTCTGTATAATATTCTTTATTTCAGTCAGTGTATGCTTAATTTCTAGTTGGTCCTTTATCACAACATCGAGGGTCTCACTAGATTTCTTAAGGATCTCAATACATTTATCGGCGGTTTCCATAAAATTCTTGAAAAATCTTAGAACCGTGGTTTTGAACTCTATATCCAGTCGTTTGCTGTCCTCCATTTCTGTCATTTGTGACCTGTTTCTTTGTCTTCGCATTTTGTCTGCTTCCCTGTGTTGGTAGAGTGGTTTTGTGTGCTAGGTGTCCTACAGGGCCCAGTGGCTCAGCCTCCCCAGTTACCTGAGGTGGACACTCTTGGTGCACCCCCTTGTGGGCTTTGTGCACAGTCTTGTTGTAGTTATGCCTTGATTGTTTTAGGTGTCACTGGGAGGAATTGACCTCCAGGCCAATTGGCAGTGAGAATCAGCTGTGTCTGCAGTGGGAGAACTTCTGTGCTGAAGACACCCTTCTGGGGCAAGACTTGCTTCAGTGGGGCTTTGGTGCTCACTGAGTCTGCCCCCTGAGTGTGTTCCTTATGAATCTGAGGAGTTGTAATCTGGGTGGTCCCACTCTGACCACTGGGTACACTGGCTCTTGGATCTAAGGAGGTGCTAATTAAGCCTCTTCCTGAGGTTACCCAGCAGGAGCTATGAAGAGATATGCAGATTCCCCTTCCTTTTTTGGGGGTTTGGGGGTGCCCAGATGAGGCCCAGCTGAGAAGCAATGCAAGCTGCTGTGGGGCCTTGGGCCTTCTCTTGGAAGTTCTGGGTCTGTCTGGCCCAGCTGCAATTTGTTAGGTAGTTGTCAGGTTGTAAAGGACCCGGGCATTCATATGCAAAAGGCTTTGCAGCAGCCTGGATGGGGCGGGGTCTCAGAATCAACAGGGCGGAGCAAGCAGCTATGGCTGATTCCCAG